CAGCAGCAACGGAATTTTACTTTGCCAGTAAGACAGGAGCTAGGTGATATCAGTCCACCACTATCAAACTTTCTATCAGGAAGTACAACTCGCTACTGCTGCTCAGACATAAATCCTTCAAATGCAAGGTTGGTTTTACTTCTAAAAATATTCTATCGACACAGACATTCACATCGAATTGTTTTGCCTCGGGTGCGCTGTGGAGTGGGTAAGATTATGGCCTCTGCAAATACAAGGACTGGATGGAATATTTAAAGAAGTGTCTCCATACGTCTCCAACACTTTGACTAACTAGGAAATGAAGACCTATGTACCAAATTCCAGACAGTCCCTTTAAGAGTAAAACTACCATTTAAACTAAAACCTTTTCCTGAACGATTTTCCAAATATCTCTGTCCGTTCTCTCCATTTTTCGGCTGATCATCGCTGCTGTTTGTGTGTTATCCTAAGCACTCACTCACCACTATAACATCTGTGTAATGATTCATGCTTGTGCTGATCTGCGGCCTTTCATCGTTCACTTTTACCTCATTTTTCACCATCCTCCTCATCACAAATCCTGTTTTTATTCCGCTGTCTGCTCGGGTTTTGTATGTATAATGACTTCTGCATGTTCAAATCTGCTACACTTTAGCCTTTTCCTGTCACAAACATGGTCGCATGTGCAGAGTGGATAAACAAAAGCGCGTGAGAGGAAATCATTTGCATCTAATTAAGAGCCCTCAGTTTCATGACGGTTTTTGAGGAGAGAAAATGAGATAAACCTTTAATTAGTCAACAAAAAAAGTTAAATTAGTTTTGTGTCACGTAACTATTTTCAATAAATAGTCAGATTAGGTTTATTAGGTCTTCTGTATTGATTATACTTTAGATTCTTATGTACAGACTTCTATTTATTTCATACACTCACAGTTTTAGAAATGTCAGTGATGACAGTGTGCAGTAGTAGAAGCTGGTGTCACTTAGAGCCCCCACTCAGTTTCATTTCTCTCCAGCGATTAGGTCAGGAATCGGAATACACTAGATGGTTTGCAAGAACCCTGGAAGTTGTAGACGGCACACAGGCCAATCACCGAAGAACTGTGAAGCCATGAGGTCAAACTCAAGCACCTGTCTGAGTGAGTCCCTTTTGTGGTACAACACAACAGTAAACAAAGCGGTCGAGATGGATGTAGACGAAGACATACATTCTGTGTTGGCAACGATTCCTGAGATCGAGGATTTAAAGCCGGAGCAAAGAGAATGTTTGGTGAATTTCATCAATGGGAAAGACGTTATTCCCCTTCTTCCTACAGGATTTGGCGCATTACGTACGTCACGACCAAATAGCAGCGATTCATTAAATAAAAAAAAGTACCTGCCTACCATCGAGCAAACGAATCCTAATGCTGCAAGGTCAGACAGTTTTCACAAAGTGAAACCATCTGATGAATCAAGTGTGCAGTGCCTGGTAAGCTGATTTAAACTTTGGCTCCAACAACAGCGTGTAGGATGACAGAGCCACCTGCAGTTTGGCTACCAGGTGTGAGAAGTTGGACTAAACAACTAAAACGTGCACCCAAGTTACTAAACATCAAACCCACCAAGAACAACTGAAAGGTCCTAAATTACGCAAAATGTACTCTATTTTTTGTATATTTTTTTTTACTCTTTTAGCCATGTTAGAATGTTGTTACCTCATCACAAACATAATCAGAGTTTTGTATTTCAGTTCACACATGTCTAAGTAATCCTGGATTATTAGGATGCCTTCACTTCAAAGCTCAAAATGCTCCGTCCCACCCTGTGATTTCGTGAAGAAGTAGTTCTCAAATCAACAGCTACCTTTCAATCTACCTTTCAATTTTAGTTGGGTAGAGACTGGCAACCCCAGGGCTGAAATGAACTGAACGATTCTAATGAAGGTTTATGGAGTTTAAAAACACAATAGAGCACTTTTTATCACATGAAATTACAAGGTGGAAAAGAGTGTTTTCTGTTTGTGAGAAGAACTCGGCTAAATATGCATGGTTTGTGTGTTAAACTGTGTGGATGAAACAAAACAAAACTCTTGGTATGTTTGTAATGAAGAAACAACATTATAACAGATCAGAAAATAACGTTGTTTTTTTTATTGTGCAAGACTGCAATGTCAAACCACTGCAAGAGGGAAATGGGAACACGAAGGTCATAGGCACAGTGAGCAACAAGTCCCATCACTGGCTCAGGGAGACTATCAAACTATCGAGATGTGGAAAAGCACCCACCAGACTGTGAATCGGGATGATGGGGCACACCACACTCTCTCACACCTAGGATACAGTTCTGAAGAAGTCGAACTCCAGATGGCGCTGCAGTCCTACTACTCCAAGTAAATCAGCTGACCAGACACAAATAAAGGTCCCTACATAATTTAAAGTGTATTTTGAATAAATATGTATTAATAATAGGGATGTAACGATACCCAGATTTCACAGTACATTATTTTCACAATATACATCTCACGGTACGATATTTATTGCGATACTTTGTGGATGCTAACAGTGCTTAGAACGGTTATTTCTTCATGTAGCTTGCACCAAAACGGAGCAAAGGATCATGGTCGATGTAGTTCCCTCTGTTTTTTTAGCTATTGCTGCACCGTAACAATGAATTTAAGAAAAGAAACTGGTAATTCGATGTATTGTGATGGCCCACGATATTATTGTGAGACTTTTGAAGATACAATATCATGATATTTTGGTTATTGTTACACTCCTAATAACATAAATATGTATTATTTTTAGTTGCACTGGGCAATATGGTGATAAAAATCTAACTGAATATAAATCCATGTGACTTTTGGTGATATAGTCATTGTAATTCAGTGTTTTCTGATTAACTTGACTTGACTTCTGATTAACTCTGAGTGAGTGACAGGTGGAATTACCCAATCATAGTAAAGTGTGAAGTTTTCAGAGAAGAGTATGTTAGCTATTACTTATAGGCGATAAATGGATACTAGGGATGTAACGACATCCAGCCCTCTTGATATGATATTATCACTATATCCATCTCACAGTATGATATTTATTATTGTTCGTGGAGGCAAAAAAAAAGAATGAGAAGAATGAGTGAGAACGCTACTTTTCTCTCATTATAATCCAAATAATTCAGATTTAGAAGTACTTCATAACAGTTATGTCAGCATGTAGATTGGACTGAAACAGCAAAGGATCATGGTCTATGTAGTTCTCACTGTTTTTTAGCCATTGCTACACCAAAACAATGCATTTAAGCAGAGACACTTGAGATTCGATATATTGTGACGTCCCACGATATTACTGTGAGACTTTTGATGATACAATATCACATATTTCAATTATTGTTACATCCCTAATAGATACTAAAGAACTGTAATAAAATCAAAATTGTGATCTGGTTCCAAGTAAATAAAAAAGTGATATAAAAACTTAACTACTAACTAACTTAAATTAATTAACTTAACTAAACTAACTAAATTAACTTAAAGGTTGTATAGAGGATTTTCCAAGGAACGAGAAATCCAGCGACTGTTTGTCCTTTTTCAAATGTTGCGCATGCGTGAAACCACCCCCCCTCCCCTACAGCTCCTACGTAGAAATGCCTTCTCCCGCCTCCTCTTTACGCCAGAAACAGGTTTGTTTACAGCCGGTGCTGCACATGACTTGTAAACAACTAACTACAGTGTTGGTTAGGCAAGACGGAGAAGTGAGGAGCGGGGGAGCGGGTGAGTGCGGACGAGAAGTGAGGAGTGCGGAGATTCCGTGCGGGAGATGAAGCTAGCTTGAACTAACACGCAGCAGCAAGCGGACTCTTTCTTTGCCTTGAAAATTACGTTTTCAGACATAGGATATCGCTTTCGTGTCCTGAAAAACGTTTGACTAGCTCTTGGAAATAAAGTACGTTTTCATAATAAGCAGAAGTGACCTGTCCAGGAGTAATTTGGCGACCAGTGCGTCAGTCTTTAGACCCTGCGTCTGCTTCAGTCGCGCCATCGCTGGAATGAATCTTCTAGAATCACCTTAGTTTGGTTTCGCTGCTTTTCCCCTTGTCGTCTTCTTTCAGCGACCTCAAAAACGGACTTTCTTTTGCAGCGAACTGCTCCTGGATTCTTGTCGCCATTGCAACAAACTTTGTGCGAACTGCGAGGAAGATATAGGTCAAAAAAAGCCGCTAAGAACTGTTGTGTTGGTGGAGTAAACAGCGTCTGTGCGGCTTGCGTCTGTGGACTGCGTGACAGGCGTACGTAAACCACGTACCGGCAGCACGCAGGCAAGTCAGTTACGCTAGAAACATAGGGAGATTGATTGACAGCCTGTCAGCTAACAGATAACGAGGCAGTGTCGTTATCTATTGGCAAATGTTTAGCCCCACCACGTCCAGAGTTGATGAATTTTTATTCTCTTTTTTTTGGTCATCATAATTACAAGGCTACTGCACCTCTATAATGCTATCATTGACAATTTGAAACAAAAAAAAATCCTCCATACAACCTTTAACTACTAATAACTACTACTAAAATGTGTATATTATTTCAGCTGTACACAGATTTGTACAGAAAAACTCATGACGTCGTTTGAATCATTTGAAACAGTACTTTTGATCTACTCTTTGATTTTCTGAAAGTACATTATTATATTGTCTGGTAAATTTCTAATATAAAATTTGCACATTCTTGTCAAGTGAAGACAATTTAACATAATTGGAATCATCTGAAACAGTACTTTTGCTTCTTTTATTGTCTGTCTGAAGATGTCAATACTTATTTGAAAATGAGCTGTAATTTTCTGTGTACTTGACTTCATTACATACTACTTTTGTTTCTAAAGTAACAATATTTTAGTACGATTGAAGCTACTCTGACCATGGGCAATGTTTGTTCTGCTCCACCTACTCACAGATTCACAATGACAAACATTGTAAATACACAGGAAAAAAGCAAAGATACAAACTAAATATGATTTTGATGGTAGTTAAAAGTATACATGAAAAGTACTGACCAGCTGTTGTCCTTGTACTCCCCAGGCCGCGTACTGCAGCACAGAGTTCCCGACCTCCGGAGGGTCCAGTGCCCAAACCTCCCTGAAAACAACGAACCAGAAACATGTGGATGAAACTAAACACAACTAAAGGTGTGTTTTTGAGAAAGAGATTAGAGAAACAAACATTATAAAAGCCAAGTAGACAATTTTGAATAATAATAATATTTTTACTTAGACTTAGACAAACTTTATTGATCAACAAGGGAAATTACTTAGACACAGTAGCTCAAACATCACAATATAACAAAGAATAAGAAAAACTAAAAATGGTTAAAATAAATTCTAAATAAGTAGCAAAAAAAATAGCAAGAGACTGGGTTCAAATAAGCCATAATTATAGAAATGTATACTGTCCTACAAAGCCACATAACACTATAACATCATGTTTGGTCAAAAATGAGTTCTTTTGTTTGTACTTGAGATCTCCTTTATCATGTGAATAAATATCGTGAAAAATGCTGAGCTCAAAATTGACCTTTAACCCTTATTTAGCAGTTCCTGTACTCTGTCTTTGTATCATATGTAGTGACGGGCAAATGAGATGGAGCTCCGGAGCACGTCTCGTTCTTTCTGAAACAAATTGCTCCGACGCGCTGCCTCGGAGCTCGTCTCGCAGCAGCCGCTCACGTGACCGAAGTGTCCAAGTGTGGGTCCCTCCCCCTACTGCTTCGCTCTGCGTGTCAGTCGCTTCAATGTATCAAACCATTTCATTGGCTCAGCGAATGTTCCGCTCTGTGATTGGTTCAGAGTGCTTCAGAGTGTTCAGCGCACTTCCGTGGTTTGACAAGCACTAAACTGCTACAGTATAAAAGATGCTCCAATATTTCTTTAAAAAATGTTGGGTGGTGAGGAGTGTTGTGTGACGTTAGTGGTGATTTTGGTGACTTTTGGCGACTTTTGGCATTTGTTTCATTTTTGATGGCATCTACAAGTGGAAAAAAGTGATCCATGTTTTGGGATCACTTTCATCTAATTCCACCTAACAAGGTACACCTACTTTCTTATTTACATCATACTATTTATGTTGCTCTTTACATATTATTTTAAATCATTATTATTGTTGTTGTTAGGTACGGTGTCGCTCTGCACACAAGTATTGTGTTACACTAACAATACTTCATCGGTGCTGAGACACCTGCGTGACAATGGTTAAATTTGTCCACTAGAGGTCAGTGTTTCTCCGAGGCCTCAGACATGTCGAACCATCTGAGACAATATTGCGACTGAGGTGTCAATGCTTCACGAGGCTCCATTCACCCATCACTAATCATATGCCAAAAATAAAGAGTCGTTCAAAGTCAAAAGGCAGTAACAGTGTACGTTTTGTTTGTGATTTAGTTCATAAATATATTTTATTTTAAAATCCAACCTCTCGTCTCCTTTTTGTTGTGGCCTTTTGTACTCAAGTCACTTGTCTGTCAAACTGTTTCACTGTGTAAGTGTCGCCGCATGATCCTGATCAGCAATAAACAGGAAATCCAAAGCTCTTCTATATTATTTCAAACAAACCCCATGATGACTCGACCTTGGTGAGGTGTTTTTCTTATAATGGACGGAAGTCTGGAGAAAATAAGTAAATAATGATCATGTCAGTTACAGTTTCTGCCTTTTGCCTTTGCACGACTCCTTATTTTTGGCTCATGATACAAAGACAGAGTACAGGAACTGACAAATAAGGGTCAAAGGTCAATTCTGAGCTCAGTACATACAAATATTTCTTCATCATAGCAACTAGTGTCAAATTTTTTAAGCCCTACCCATTATACTATTATACACTACACTTATTAACCTTTGAAGTCATTTTTCTCAGTTTCACACTCTGGCGAGTTAAAACCTTTTGCCTTTGTAGGGCAGTATATCTAGAAGAAAAAGAAAAAAAAACAAAACTGAAATATAGTCATATAAATACACTGACCTTGTGTGGATGTTGTAGATACTGTAGGATGCCATGTAGGAGTGCCGATAAACCTAAAACAAAACACAAAGACAAAATTGAGAAATGAGGTGACGTTAACACACAAACTAGTCTTATGTGGATTTTTGGACAATCAAAATCTGTGTATCATTTGTTCATTATTTATCTCCAAAATAAAAAATAAAAAAATTTAAAAAATTTAAATGACTAATGGAAAAAAGAGATATCGTCCATTTCCTGTTTCAGTGTTAAACTGCGATGCCGGACTTTTACACTGCATACGGACTAAACCAGGACTGAACTAGGACTAAAACAGGAATAAACCAGGACTGAACCAGGACTGAACCAGGAGGACTGAACCAGGACTAGACCAGGACTGAACTAGGACTAAAACAGGACTGAACCAGGACTGAACTAGGACTAAACCAGCACTAAACCTGGACTAAACTAGGACTGAGTGACAGGACAGGCCCATAGGTGCGCTCGCATAAACGAGTGGGTGACTCGTCCTGGTTTAGTCCTGGTTTAGTCCTGGTTCAGTCCTGGTTCAGTCCATATGCGGTGCAAAAGTCTGGCATCGCAGTTTAAGACATGGAAGCGGGTAACGGTAGCGGTTATCTGTTTTTTCCATTATTCATTTAAACACAAAATCAAAAACTGAAAAAAAAAAAAAATCATCATCTGTTTTTTTGATTTTGGTTTTGGAGATTTTTATTTTTTCTTATTTTTCATTTATTTTGAAAAACAAACGAACAAATGATACAGGGATTAATCAAAACACCTTTACTTTATTCATTCACAAACATGTTAAACCACTTTATAACTAGAACTGCTCTAAGGCAAACTGAAGCCACGCCTGCTGACACACTTGTTTTTTAATGTGTGCCTTATGTCACTATGGTAACTTCTAAAGATTTTACCATACACATTCATATAGAACACCCCCACGTAGTGTCATTTCAGAGTATCCATAATAGGTTTATTGTGAATGGGATTTGAATAGGACAGACTATTATAAGTCTGTCAGAAGATAAATATTGGAGACAGTGAGAATTTAGCGGTTTGACACAACGACGGAGAGAAAGAAAGAAAGACAGAAAGAAAGAGGGAAAGAAAGAGAAAGAGAGACAGAGGGCATGCTGGTTGTTTGCCATGATAGCATCTCAGCTCATTTGCATTGTTGACAGTTTAATTCCATGTGAAAAAGCCATCATCACCACATCAGGGCCAGAAGAAAAAGACCCCGAGAAAACTCCTCTTTCCTCCTTCTCTCAACTCTTTTCTCCTCCCTTCTTCCTCTTTTCCTTTTCTCCTCCCTCTCCTCTCACCTTCTTTTCTCTTCTCTAGCCCCTTTCCTCTCATCCTTCCCCGTCCCTCCGTCTCCCTCCTCTCTCCATCTCCTGCCCTCGTTCTCCTCCTCTCTTCTCTTCTCTTTCTCCCTCCTCTCTCTCCCTCTTTCCTCTCCTCTCCTCCAGCATCCTCTCCCTCATTCATCTCTCCTTTCCTCTCCTTCTCTCCTCCTCTCTCTTCCTCTTCCTCCTCCTCCCCTTCCTCTCTAGCATCCTCCCCCTCCACTCACCTTTTCCCTCCTCCTCCCTCTCTTCTCTCCTTCCCCTCTTGTCCTTTTCACTCATCTCTCTGCCACTCTCCTCCTCTCCTCTTTCATTTTCCCCTCTCATCCATCTCTTCCCTCTTTTCTCATACCCCGCTTCCTTCCTTCTCTCTCATCTCTCCTTCCTTCCCGCTCCTCCCGTCTTCCCTCCCTCACCTCCGCTCACTTTTCTCCCCTCCTTCTCTCCTTCCTCTCCCGTCCTTTTCCATCATCTCCCACCCCAACTTTTGTTCTTTCTCCTCCTCTCCTCCTTCATCCCCCTCTCACACACATACACACACTCTCGTCCTCTCTCCTCTGTCCTCCTTCCCTCTCCTCCCTCTCATCTCTCCTTCCTCTCCTCTCCTTTTCCGTCATCTCTCACCCCCACTCTCTCCTCCTCTCCTCTTTCATCCTCCCCTCTCATCTATCTCTTCCCTCTCTTCTCACCATCCGCCGTTCCTCCTCCTGTCTCCTCTCTCCTTCTCCCCCCTCCTCTCGTCTTCCCTCCTTCACCTCCACTCACTTTTCTCTCCTCCTCCCTCTCATCTCTCCTTCCTCTCCTCTCCTTTTCCCTCATCTCCCACCCTCCACTCTCGTCCTTCATCCCTCTCATACACACACATAAACACACTCTCCTCCTCTCCTCTCTCCTCCTTCCTGCTCCTCCTCTCCTCTCTCTCTAGCCCCTCTCTTCTTCTCCTCCCCCTCCACTCACCTTTTCCCTTCTCCCTCTCATCTCTCCTTCCTCTCTTCTCTTTTCCCCATTCCTCTACATCTTCCCTCATCTTCTCTCTTCCCTCTTTCTCCCTCCTCTCTTCGTTCACCCACTCCCCTCCCCACCAAGCACACTCTTGTCTTTTTCTCCTCTCCTCGTTCCTCCTTCCCTCTCCTCCCTCTCATCTCTCCTTCTTCTCTTGTCCTTTTCCCTCATCTCCCACCCTAAACTCTCATCCTTCATCCCCTCACACACGCATACACGCTCTCTCGTCCTCTCTCCTCTTCTCCTCTGTCCTCCTCCCTCCTTCTCTCTCCTCCTCTTCCTCTCCTGACGTGGTAATAGATCTCGGGGTGACACACAAACACATTAGCATGTTGAGCAGAGACATTCGTAGAGGAGCTGTGACAGGGAGGACATCGGGGGACGAGGGGCTGTTACTGTTTTGACAAGGTTGATGCAGATAATGACTCAGGTGCTAGAGGGATGCTCCTGTAACCAGAAGGTGGCTGGTTCAAATCCCGTTCTGACAAGTTCAGACAGTGGGCGTGTCATTGGGCAAGACGGATCAGCAACCCGCGTTACCCATGTTCAGACAGCCACATGTCGACTCCAAAGACAAAACGTTCACCTTGTGTGTTTTCAATGTTTGGAAATGCAAACAGGATAAGGATGCAACGGTTTTCCCACGATTTGATACATATCTCGATATACAGGTCACGATATCGATTTGATTTCAATACGACGGAAAAAAAAAAATCTCATGTCATTTTTTCTGCTAATGACTACAACAGGGGTGCCCAATACGTCGATCGCGATCTACCAGTCGATCGCCAAGGTCGTGTGGGTAGATCGCCGTGTCTCGTCTCGGACTCGCGTTTGGTCTTGTCTCTCACTCGAGGTCTGACACTCAACAAGTGCGATCATATTTCATTACGGCCGCTGCTGTTGGCAATAAACTTGTAGCGGGTGCAGGAGCGTGTGGGGCGTCTCAGTGCAGCCTGTGCGCTCATTTGAAACCCGCGGAGACTCTACGGCGCATCACAAACACACACGCTCCCTATGCACGGCTCGTCTGCAACAGCGTGTGCCCTCGTGTACCAGCGTGCATCACAGGGCAGGTTCAACTTCCTAAACATCCTACCTGTCCATCTGCCTCACGTCAGCACGCCGCCCCTCGCCTTTTCACACTCTCGCTCCTTCCTGCGTACAGCGAACACAAGCCCCTCCCACAGTGCGGCTGATTAGAAGAGCAAGACCAAACGTGAAGCAAAAACGAGTCTAAATTTGTGTTCCAGTGATGGCACAAAGCAGGTCTACAGCATAGAGCGGATCTACAGAACAGACCTACTGCCACATTTGGCTGAAGTTAGCTCGCATGCTGAAAAAGTGTGAGCACCCCTGGACTACAATATAATAACAGTATGATGTTGAAACAGTACAACAGTACAACAGTACAACCACTGTACAGCTTGACTTTATATGTGAAGTGTTTAGTTTATTTATACCAAGACAAGACCAAGACCTCTGAAGGCCAAGACTGAGACAAGACCAAGAGTCTTAAAGATTGAGATCGAGACAAGCCCGAGACCATAGCCCATCGAGACCATATTTGTCATTTCTTACGTTTATTTGTATTTTACTGTTATTTTAGCACATATAGATTCATGTTTTTGTTTTGTTTTTTATAAATCTACCTCCATTTGATCTGATTAATATTCATTTAAGCTTAAAATAAGACAAGCAAACTGTACTGCAACACCCCACAGTTTTAGAACCCCTCCTTTAAGAGAACTTCCACTGGCACGACACAGAAAACAAGTTCCAAGTTAATCAAGTGGTGTTTTTTTCAAGTTCATAACATTTGCAGTTACATGATCTTACTGGTTTTGCAGTGATATTGAGCAGCCTCTGCACATTTACCGAAATAAGATCACACTCGTCGAGTGTCAGACCTCAAATCCGAGACAAGACCGAGACTAAATACTCTGAATCCGAGATGAGACCAAGACTGTTAAAAAGCGAAGCTCGAGATCAAGAACAGACTCGAGTACTACGACCCTAGTAACTGTTACAATGCAAAAATAAATAAATAAATAAATCTCATGTAATTTTTTCTGCTAATGACTATAATGACTACAATATAATAACAGTCTGATGTTGAAACATACAGCACATTACAGCACAAAGACTGTACAGCTGGAGTTTATATGTGAAGAGTTTTGTTTATTTGGTTCAATAATTTACAGCTCAGCATTTTTATTCAGTGAAAATAAGAACAGTTTTCTCAGGCTATTTAATATTTTATAACATATTCAGTCATATATAAAGTGGTAGGGGAGCTACACTATAACATTTTTCTTTCTTTGATGATGATTTGATGATTTCTTTTCCTCCTGAGCCTCCCTGTGTGCACACACCTGTGTCCGCTGTCCTGCCCTCCTCCAGCAGAGATTGTACATAGCTCCTCCCACACTCCCCACAGCGCTCTCTCTCATCGTCTTTCTGGACACTAAGGTCACACTAGGACTTTAGAACCACGCTATGCTCAAGCACGATTGCGTAGGGTTCTATGGCCCACACTCTAACAGACACCCACACTTGCACATCCAGGCCACAGCCCAATGATGTCATCACATGGTGCTGTTTGTTTACATGCGCTAACAATTTTAGTGGGGAAAAAAAAATATATGTTGTGCGACAGAAATATCTATTAAATAGTGATGCCGATGTGCTTTCTTTTA